CAACCCCTCCAGGGATCCCGGGGACTCCCCCCCTGCCCTGAGCAGTCCATTCCAACGCCCAACAGCCCCTTCTGCAAAGAAATCCTTCCTCAGAGCCAGCCTGACCCTGCCCTGGGCAGCTTGAGGCCATTCCCTCTGGGCCTGGCGCTGGGGCCTTGGCTCCAGAGACTCATCCCCCCTCTCTGCACCCTCCTGGCAGGGAGTTGCAGAGGGCCAGGAGGTCTCCCCTCAGCCTCCTCTTCTCCAGACTAAACCCCCCCAGTTCCCTCAGCCGCTCCCCAGCAGACCTGTGCTCCAGACCCTACCCCAGCTCCGTTGCCCTTCTCTGGCCACGCTCGAGTCACTCAATGGCCTTCTTGGGGTGAAGGGCCCAAAACTGAATCCCCTCACCGAGATGCAGCCAATTTGTGACCGAAGTCTTGCAGATGAGGGATTAGTACTAAGGAAGCAGTTGTGCAAATCTGGATTCACCCCGGTCTCCTGCCAGTAGCTGTTTTCAAATGATTTAAGTCCCATCTTTTAGATCATAAGGCTGAGGCTGTAGTAAGGGGGGATAAATACTAATACGCCTTATAGTTTGAACAGTGCTTAAGGCTGTGTTGAACTGGTTTTAATGTGGCATCTCAGCCTTCCTCAGTGCCTGTGCAGCAGTACCATCATCCCTTGCTGGGCAGGTGGGACTGGCATTGAGGGTGATAAGCAAGCAAGCTGTGGGCTGCTCTCTCTCATTGAGGTCTTCCAAGCACATGGAACAACATGCGGGTTTGCAGAATTTGCAGGCTTTTCTTTGGACACGTTGGACACAGGCCTACTTGTATTAAATCCAGGTAAAACTTTGCTTGTTGCTTCCAGAGGAACAGGGACTGCTATTGGTGGTCAAACTTGTAGCTTATTTTTCCTCTGTTATACTGTAATTTATTGTTAGAGCCAAAGGGGAGGTGTGTTGGACATGCCTTTTTAAAGTCCAACTTTATGTGACTTTTCAGGTGTTTCACCTTATTTTCAATTATTTTTATTGCAACCTTCTAAAATACTTATTCAACAAAAGTCACGTCAGGTATTTGAGGTGTCAACCCCAGGTATATCTTCAGTGTGTCTTTCACTGTTGTTTGGTTTTCTTTAGCTATTACTCTATTTCAGATGATTTAAAAATACAAGAATTACAATATTGCTGAAAAGGAGGGGCAAGAACTTCTGCGATCAGAGATAGTAAGCAGTCACTGGCTGTGCAGCCTTTTGGATGAAGTCTTGTCCTAACACCAGATAGGCTTCAGACTTCAGCTTTGCCATGTGAAATGCCCTGTGCCTGCCCCATCCCCTGGTCTGTGTGGAGAGCCTGTGACTTCTGGAACGTTTCCGCGCAGCAGTCCTGATGACCATGGCTCTTCCCCACCAATTCAGCGGTGGCTTTGTTGGTTTTAGAGTTGCTATTGCAGTTAGAGAGCAAATGTGGAAAACAGCTTCAAAAGATCGGCTCGGAGTACGTACTGCTCAGAGTTTGTATTTAATCCTTAGTTGTTGGTTTCTGTGGGAGTTACCAAACCAGTTGAGCTACAGCACTGGCATGAATCCAAATGAAAAATACAGTTTTCTTCACTGTAAACATGACTGTCAAGCAGTAATGTTTTTCTCAGCTTCATTTTAAAGGCATTATAATGGAAGAAAATGAAACTAAAACACGTTTTTATGCCAGTATTATACATGGAAGAATGTTATTTCTTTTAATGAAAAACTCTTAGAGAATAGAACATGCAAAATTATGTCTTAATAAATATGTAATCAGTTATCTGTGTAGCTAGATACTTGATGGAGTTGGTAAACTGATAAATTTCTTATTCTGGTGTACTTACGGTGAGAATGCTGCTTTTTTTTTTTTTTTTCTTCTGCAAACATGAAAGATATGTGAAGTTCTTTATTTTAGTCCTCTTCTGATAACAAAAAAAAAAAATAGTGCCTGATAAAACTTAATGAATAATAACAGCAAACACTAATCTTCATCCACTCCTTCGGGCTTATTTTTAATCTCTCTTTTCAGTGGCCAGTAGCTTTGTTAACTCATCATCAGATATTCTGCTGAACTTGGCCATCCTTGCTTTGCTTCTGCGGTTTAGTTTGTTGAGAAATGTGTAAGTTCAGCTTTGCTTTTCTACTATAAAGGCAAACCGTAGTTAATGCTCACAGTGATTTCACCAGGATGTTGTCACGTAGGTGCAACTGCACCAAATGGAGAACAACAGCATTTTCACTTACTTTTCAGAAATAAATTTATCAGAGTTGTCTGCTTTGCCTGTAACTCCCTCCGTTTTATTTTGCAGAGTGGGGAAAAAGCTTGTTTAACAAAATGTCTGATCAGCTGCTGCTTTGTAAAATGGCTTTTTGGGTAGTAGGAACGGAAATTGCATCTCAAAGAATGGATGTCAGCATCCATGTAACTCGATGCACTGGAGGATGAAAAACCCTTCATTTGTGCTTCATTGTTTGAATGAGCTTTTTTAAGAGTTTTGTAATAGAAAAGTGGGAAATAGGATTGGAAGGGACTTTTATAAGGGTCTTCTCGTCTGCCCAGTCTCTTAAGGCAGAATCAGCTGCAGCAAAACCCTTCCTGACAGATATTTGTCTCGCCTCTTCCTTATAACCTCAAATGAAAGTGATTCCTGTGTTTCCCTGTGTAATTCTGTGCTAATGCTTCAGGTGATTAGGAAGGGCTTTTTACTGGGTAGGCAACCCAGTTCTCTTGAGCAACAGAATTTTAAACTAAATTTTATTAGGACTGGTACATTTTTATTTGCACATCTAATCCTCTTATTAAAAAATTCAACCTGCCTCACTTAGTCTGGATGTTTGCAGGTGCAGAGAAATAAATTGCTGAGAGCAGACATACATGCTGTAGGTGAATTAATGAAATGGTGTCCAGCTCTCTGAAGGAAAAGGGATGAAAAAAGAACTCTGAAGTTCTCTGTAGAATTCCTCAGCGAAGTTGATGCTGAAATTAGCCAGGAAGACCCTTCTTTCGTTGTGTGGTGGCAACACCACCAAACTGATGTCCAGATTTTGCGTTTCCTGCTCAGTTAAGTACGTGCTGCAGTAGTAATGAATTGTGTTCAGGTTTTGAAGATGGTAGTGAAGGAGGCACTGCCTGACTGGGCACCTTTGAGATCTTGTGTATGAGTGGTAACAACGTTGTTTTCCATAGCAGTGTCCTGTGTTTACCCTAACAAATCAGCTTTTCTTCTGGATCTTGGGATGAGCCAGCTTCTCAGAGTTCAAGATACTGTCCCAGCAAGGAAGTGTTGAAAACAACAGGCTATTGTTGCACTTGGGTGTGCACTGTCCTGGACCCTGGGTGTCTGTATCCTGCCTCGCAGGCACTGTGAGCTCAGCCACGGCTGCTGCCTCTGGGCAGGCAGCCCCAGTTTGAAGGAAACCGTAAAACACTAATGGCTGCTGTCGCCAGCAGTGGTCTCAGGGCAACAGCAGCTCCACTGTTGAGGAGGATTTTCTTAAAACGTGGATTTTAGGGAGTTTGTAGAAGGGTAATGAGGTAGTTTGTGAGTAATGGGGAGTTTTGTGCATAGAACAAGCTTTGAAAACTTCCCAGGAGGCAGTAGCATGGCACGCTGAGCTGGAGTGCAAGTGAATGTTACAATAGTGGAGAACAGAGGAGGGCTGAGGTGAAGGTTGGTCAGAAAGGATCCTGAAACTGCAGAAAAGGTGCTATATATGAGGAAATTAAGGAGAGACAGAGAAGGGAATTGAAGACAGGAAGACACTCGAGGAGATAGACTTGGGACAGGGCATGGTCCAGGAAGGGTGTTTGCATTGGTATTCTAACTAGGAGTGAGATAGACCTGTATTTACTGATGCCAGTAAAGGGGATGTTGCAATAGTCAAGAGACAGGAAGATTAAAGTCCAGACAAGTGTTTTAACTGTGTAAGATAGGTAAGAAAGACTATTTTTGAGAGTAGTTACTCTGAAAGAGCTGTGAACGTTTAAATTTAGTTCATTATTTATTGATTTTAAAGACTATTTTAGTTACGTTTTCCCATTGCGAGCAGCGGGGTGATGGGCGTTTGGTTTATTATGTGTGGGGGGTTTTTTTATTTTTTTTAACTTAATTGTCTTGCTTTTTATCTTACATTCTTTCCTCATGCTGCAAGATAATTTTGTTGGGGCAGAAAGCAGGGCTTGTCACATAGCAAAGTTGGGAGGGCAACCCCCAGAGAATGGCTCGCATCTCTGCAAAGAGTGGAAGCACACTGACGTTGCTGTCTTCTAAGAATACTTAGTAAAGAATAGTAGGGAGGGTAGCATTAAAGAAAAAAAGAAAAGGGAAGGCGAATCAGAGAAATGTTGATAGCAGTGAGAAAGGGGTTATGCGAGGCTCAATGTTTTTTCTTTAACTGGGTAAATATTTTTAGCATTATTTCAGAACTGTTCAAGAGAAGGTGATGAAGCTCTCATGGAAGTATCAAAGCAGCAAAAGCAAAGGGATTTGACTAGCCTAGGCTGTTCAAAATAGATTGACTCCATTTCAAGTTGAGGTGCAGACAGGGTGGGGATTAGGATTCAGAAGCTTAGGAGGGCTCTATTTCTGCTAATTTTAGGCACTGCCAGTGACATTCCTTTAAATAACCAAATTCAATGGAGAACATGAATTGCAGACTTGCAGGTGATAAGTGATTCATGTAAGCTACAGAACAAATAAAACTGCTGAAACCAACCACAGTAAACTAGGATGTTTTATGAATGTCTGTATGGAGATACTGGACATTGTCACTTCTAAAAACATCCAGTAAAGCAATGAAAATGAGCTTATGTGTGTCTTTTGGTCCTTTTTTTTCAGTGTAGCGATGCTGCAAGGCAGTGAGGTATTTCTTAAGGTCCTGCACTTGATTCACTTAAGGACTTTGAGATGATACTTCTCCTTCCGTTTTCTATAAAGCCAAGGTTACGCTGGCTTTCTGTACTGACTTGGTTCTTGTGCTGCTCATCTTCACAGCCCGGAAGTCCAAAAAGTTGGGGAAATTGAAAGGGATGCACGAGGAGCAGCCACAGCAGCGGCAGCAGCCACCACCCCAGAGCCCCGAGGAAGGGACGACGTACATCGCGCCTGTGACTGAGCCCTCTGTAAACACAGCACTTGTCCCCCACATGTCTGCTATCTCACCAGCACTTACTCCCTCTCCTGTTAAGATCCTTGAAAGCATTGAACCGGAGATCGTGTACGCAGGATACGACAGTTCAAAGCCAGACACAGCGGAGTACCTGCTTTCCACCTTAAACCGCCTGGCTGGCAAGCAGATGATTCAGGTGGTGAAGTGGGCAAAGATACTTCCAGGTAGGACCACGAGACATTTGGTGACATTTCTCTTCGCTGTTTCTTTTAGCTTAATGAACTATTTGCGTGACAAATTGCATCTTTAATCTGTGGGCTGTGTTGAAAACCCTCTCAGGGGGGCGTGAGATGAACATCTGAGTGAAGATTGTTGGGTTTCTTGATTTATGTAATGTTTGTTTCATATGTCTGTGATTGATATTTTTAAAACTTCAATTTTGAATAATAGCCTCAAGAATAAAGCATGTTTTGTCACAGGAATGAAAAATTAAGTTGGGTTTTTTTTTTCAGAAGTACACTTTGTGGGAGTGTTGCTCTTGTTCATTAATACTAGAAAAATAACGAGCATGTATCCAGTGCTGGTTTGGCCAACCCTTGTAGAGCACAATGTAGTTCATGGATATTTTCTGGTTTGATCTCTAGGATTTAGAAACTTGCCTCTCGAGGACCAAATTACTTTAATTCAGTATTCATGGATGTGTCTGTCATCATTTGCCTTGAGTTGGAGATCGTACAAACATACAAACAGCCAGTTCCTCTATTTTGCTCCAGACCTGATCTTCGATGAGTAAGTATTCCTTAATGGTCCTTTTCAGTGCAGGCTGGGAGGATTACTCTGTCTTTATTTGATTTTCAGACATACCTCTAGTCTGAGAAAATGTCACCTAATTCACCTAATTCCAGCTTAAAAGGTAGCTCCCCACCCACCCCCCCCCAGCAACTCAGTTTTCAGTTGGCAAAGCTTTGGTAACTGCCATCCACTTCTCCTTATGTATGTGCATGCATTCTCAGACTAGGACCATCCTGCTGGCTTGAAACATGACCGATATATGACCAGGATTTATAGCAAAGAAACATTTTTTGGTATCTACTGGAGCTTGGAAAAATACCTAACTTCTAGGAAATGTGAATATTTGAATTGCCGTTTTTTTTCATAGCAGTCATATAATGGTGCTTTTGTTAACAATATACAGCTGTTCAGTGTGTTTTCTTGACAGTCTTAATTACCCTTCTTTGCAACCATGAAAAAAGCCAAAATGTTTTTTTCAGTAATGCAACATAATTTCTTTTATGATGCGTTCAGACAAAAAGAAGGATCAACCAAGGAACCATTCCTTCTGAGTATGTGTATTCCTTCATATATTAAGTTTGTGTTTTAGTGCTGTGCTTTTGATGAGTATAATTTAATTTCTAGTGTTTATTCCGAGAGAGTAAAGTCAAAATTTAAGTGAATACACAGTCAGTCAAACTGGGGTCATGTCATATGCTTATCCCAGAAGGTTGGGATTTTTTTTGTAGATGTAAAAACGATACATAATCAATAGGATATGTGTGCTCTTGAAGAAAAGAAAAGAAAAAAAAAACCCAACAACAGGAAAAGAATGAAGAAAAAATAACTTACTGCTCAATCTCCTGAAATGTTCTGAAATGTTTTTCTTGGAGAAGATACTTTGTTGCTGTCCATCTTAATAGTCTTTGTTTGATTTAGGAATTCCTAAATAATTAATGCATATGAGATTGGTCCCAAAGCAGTGAGCAATATCAAAGAAGATTGGTTTGGTTTTGTTGTTTGTTCTTTTAAGAGGAGGAACTGGTGATTCACTGCATGTGGTTGAAAAGGTAGTGTCAGCCATTTTCAGTGTTGAAAGCGTTTCCACTGTAACTTGAGCATTAGACAGTCATCACAGAAAAAGTATCTGTGGCTAAAGCTAAGTGAAAATGTCAACTTCGAAGAGTTTAGTTCTCCTGGGGAAATGCAGACTAAAAGTTTGAACACAGAAGCAGCTCTCATTCATCTGAAGAAAGTCAGTCAGGGGGTCAAAATATTGGACAGGGAAATCAATCCCACTTGCAAGTAAAAGTATATGTGCATTGCTAGCATTCTTGAATTCTGGAAGCAGCTTCCAGAAGTCGAGATCAGTTGTGGGTTTTATGCTGCAAGCCTTTTGAAGGTTGATGCCTGCAGAATTATACTGAGGTTGGGGTTGGGATCCACTTGGGAAAAGGAGTGCAGTGTCACGGAGTGCAAAATAAAAACATTCAAACCCAGATTTATATGTAAGATAGTGGTCTGGTCTTCTATGTATTTAACAATGTGCCCATTAAGGTACTGCCAAAGGCAGGTGTTTCTAAAGAGAGGAAACATAAATTGCAGGGAGTTGTGTTGACCTGTGGGGTGTGGGGTAGGGGCTTTTGAAATAGCTCATCAGGGCACGAAACTTCCTTAGAGGTAAAAGGGTAGGAGTTCAGTGCCTACTCCAGAACATTGATGGACACATGCCTGGAACAAGAGGGTTTTTCTCATTTCACTCATGTTTCATACTTGGTGGAAATTGCTGGAGGCATTTTTTTCCAGGTTTATCACATTGTCTCTACAAGTGGTAGTTGTGAGGCTACATTTGGAGTCCGAGTTTTGGGCTCCCTGGCACAGGAAAGTTGTTGAGAAACTGCAGAGCACCCCATGGGGGTTGGCCAAGGTGGTCAGGGGCTGGCTGGGACAGCAAGGGAGCTGGGCTCATGCAGCCAGGAGAAGATTGTGTTAGGTGCAGTGGGGATCTAATTGCATCAGCTTCTTGATGAGTTGCTGTAGAAAAGATGGAGTCAGGCTCTTTGTGCAGGTGCCCAGTGGAAGGATGAGAAGCTGTGATCGCAGGACTGGGAGAGCTGCCTCCTGGGCAGCAGGAGAAGAAATTTCATAATGACATGGTGAAATAGCAGAGCAGGTGCCTGAAGAGACCCTGGAGTCTCTGTCTTTGAAGATGTTCAAGCCTTGACTGGGCAAAGCCCTGAGCAGCCTGCTCCAGCTTTGACATTAACCCTGCTGTGAGCAAGGGCTTGGACCTGAGACCTCCAGAGGTTCCTCCCACACTGAATTATTTTGTGATTCCAAGTTCAAGAGATGCAATGCTTTTCCCAGTTCTACAAGTCAAAGTAATGCAGCGTAGAAAGCATTCAGATAAGCGGAAAACATAATACACACCTCCTGTTTGTGAAAATGCAGTGCTTTGAAGCTTTGCTCTGGAATTGCTGAAGATTGGTCTTACCTTTAACTTTTTGAGTACCCTGAATTTGGAAATGTGGTGTGTAGTTGTAAATGTGGGTCTTAATTTCTGTGCCACAAGGCTTATCAAACCTCCTTAAGGAGGAGAAAAAAAAACCCCAAAACTCCTTTTTGCATCTTTGGAGTGGTTTACTGCCCTTGGCATTTTAGGACATGTATTAATTGATGCAGAATGAAAGCGAGATGCTTTAAAATGGCTTTTCCTTCTGCTGCCTTGAGAGAGTTATGCTCCTGTTACCACCTGGCCAAGATTTTCTTGGTATTTCTTCATATTGTGTCTGGAGAGGTCATTTCCCATCTCTATGCAAGAAGTAATAAGGAAGGTCCCTGGCCAGTAGCATGCACTCAGTGCCCCAGAGGATTCAGCGTTTTCTTCAATGAACAGTTAAAAAAGAGTGAAAGTAGAGGTTGGCATTAGCAGAATTATGTTGCTTTGTTTTACATTAAATGAATTTTCCGTTTACTCTTAACTACTGTGAATAAAAGGAAGTTGTAATGTTTCTGGAAGGCCATGATATATGGTCTTGTTTTCTTCCTTATTCTGAAGGCCTGTAAACAAGGCGAATAACAAATGAGGATCTGTGTTGTTAATAGCTGCTAAATGTACCTTCCATTGTATAAATACAGAGCAAAATGCCTCCCTACTAATACTTGGTTTAATTTCCTGTTATTTCTTCTTGAAGAAATATTTGCCTGCCTTCATTTAGTCATGTCACAGATCTAAGTGGAGTGTTTGTCTTTATGGATCATGCATATATTCCGTTGCTTTAATTGGTCTTAAGTAAACGTGAAGATGTGAACCGAGGGATAAGAAAATGGCCACTCAGCTGGTTACAGAAATGCCTGAAAACAGACTGAAAAGAGGCATAAAATAAACCAGTGTATTTTGTTGTGTTGGTGTAAGTTACAGTTTTCTTTTGTAGCATAGTAGTTGTAACCAAAACTAATATTATATATGTGTAGCTTTAGTTATAATCCACAGTAAATCTTTAAAAGACCATCACATATGTGACACCACATAATTCCTGCTGCATATAAACTCTTATGACAGTTGCATATGTAATAACACTCAAAAGATGTTACAATAATGTTCTTAAGGCTGAAAGCTCAAATCCGAGGCATCGGAAAATTCCAAAATTAAGGTGGCCTGTGAAATTGTAGTTTGAGCCCTTTGGGTATGTGCTTTGAAGACTGTATCCATAACCAAACCTTCAAGTTATGTTATCCCGGAATATTTTTCCCATGTGACTCGTTCCTTTTTGTATTGATCAGGTTGGATGACTCGTAGGGATGATACAGGATTATGTAGTGAGAGACTGTTGGGTTTTTACTTCATTTGTTGCCAGCAAGGAAGCCTTACCTTGAATGGATCTAGGGATTTGGGAGAACAGAGGGATCATTAATGGGGTAGATTTTCTTAAGACATGGCAAAAGACTAACCCTGATTCAAGACCTAAGCTCTGAAGTATTTCAGGTTCCTACTGCAAAGTAACAGAAATCCCACAGAAAAAAAAAAAAAAAAAAAAAAAAAAGGCTATTGTTTATTTAACTTGAGGGAAGGAGAAAATTTCTGTTAAGACTTAACCAAAGACTTTAGCTGAAATTTTCTAATCTAATTCAACCTGAGGCAGGCGTATGCATGGATAATTTATGGCCAGAGCATTAAATTGGTAGAATTATACACAATTGAAAGCAGGAAACTGAGTGGTGCTGCTTGGAATGGGTGCGAGAACAAAGCAAGGAATGTAGCGAAATACAATGTTCTTTAACGCTAGCTTATTTTCAGGGATTCTGTCTGAAGCTGTGCAAAATGAATTGTTTGCTACAAGGAACAGCCTAAAACATGATTTTTAAGACGTGGTCCTGGAAGGTAGGGAAGTTAGTTTCAAATTCCCTTGGTCTCTCCCTTGCTGGATGAATTTAATCATTGAACTAACAGCTGGAACAACTCTGTCTCTGACTGCGTCCTTTTGAAGGAAAAGGCCCCAGCGTTTTTGAAAAGAGGTGGCATGACAGTTTAGGTCCCAGAAGAAATCTGGTGGTGCACATCTTTGTCTTTCCCTGCTTTTGGGAAGCCTTCCTCCTGGATCTGCAGTAATTGGTACTCTGAAACCGTTGTGCAGACAATAACAGGTTTCTTGAGGACACTAGATGAGTTCTGCTATAGAGTCTTCAGATGGTAAATTTTGTGTAACTACATTTGAAAAAATGGATGAGATGATGGGTTTGTGAAACTAAAAAGTACAGTGAAATTGGAAAAATACAGATCTATAATGCTAGTAAATGACTAATAAGCAGGTAAAATAACTCGAGTCTCTTACCTAGGAAGGACTGGTTCCTCTGCTGTGTGTTTCAGTCCCTTTTGTATAAACCAGAGCAGCTGAAGGGGTGGCTTGGGTTGTTTTGCAGATTCAACTGAAAACTAAGTTTGTTTGTGGCGCTCGCTAGTCCACGTGTGAACTGATAACCAGAGAACAAAGGCTTGATGGATTGTTAGAGGAGGAAGC